GGAAGCAAGGAAGCAAGGAAGGTAAAGAGAGAGAGAGAGCTAAGGAAGCAAGCAGGCATGGTAGCACTTAGGAACAAGGAATATAGAAAGGTAATTAGAAGAAGTAAAATTGAAGTGAAGGGTGGGGGGAGGGGGGGGGGGCAAGTTTTAAAAGAAAAGTGAGACAAGAAAATTCGAGTAATCAAAGCCGTACCTCTCTCGTTAAATCTCCTATAATACCGTCCCAAGACCCGTCCGGTAGCTTTTGTCCCAGTGAGTCTCTACTCTCAATCTCATATTCAAACTGAAGTTTCTTTTTCAATTCATTCAGCAAATCGATGCAGAATCCTTCAAACTCCAAGTTTGTGTCATCGCTGGTGTTAGATTTGGGCTTCACCATAATAAAGGGCTGGCTCTAAACAAGGTAATAACATTGTATTAGAGCATATTTCGCATGACTGTGAGAAGCTCAGCGCCGTAAGCGTGCCGTGCCGTGCTGTTTTCTCAGTTGACTTTAATTGTCAGATTTTTTCCTCACTCAACGTGATTGGACTGGGAGTGTCGTAACCTTTGGCGCCACCGTGTCCGCGCCGTGTTTATGCCGTGTTACGTAAGGGCGTATTATATTGGATGAGTAGTAAATTGTCGAGCAATGTGATTGGTCTGGCGTATCCCTTGCCGTGCCATTACCGTGTTCGTGCCGTGAGCTTTTCACAGTCATACGAAAACTGCTCTCAATATATTGAATCAAGGGTAATGTAGTGGTAATGGTTCGAGCCTTGGACTCAGCAGCATGTTTCAGAGGATTTCACAAGGTCTCTCCATTGATTTTTTTCTCTTGGTGTTGCCCCTCCAAAACCCAACCCAAATTACCGGCCAACCATCCAATCTCAACCAAGATCAATCCAAGAAGCCAATCAAAAACCACTCAACAAGCCAAAGCATGAAGATTCATGAAATCCCTCAATGAATAGCTTACTCACAAGAGTATTAAGCTATTCCACAAAACAAACCTGAAAAACCAATACTTTCAGTTTTTTATACTTGAGAGCAAGGCTTGCAAGTTTTGGTGCTTCCAGCCCGTTATTGAGCCATACTATTGGTCGTCTCTTCTCCATGACCACACCCTTTATCCCTTTTATACTTCCAACCTGAAATGAAAGGGTTATTTTAGCAGTTAAGCAGGCAAAGGGGAAAGAAGGCGAGGAGGCGATTAGCCAAAGAGGAGGGGAGACGAGGAAGCAATGAGGAGGGGAGACAAGGCAAAGAGGAGACGAGACGGCAAGGGGGCAAGAGGGTATGGAGGTGATGAGGAGGCAAGGAGAAGACTAGAGGAGAATAGGCAAAGAGGAGAAAAGTGGGTAATGGGATGATGAGGAGGCGAGGCAAGTGGGTGAGGAGGAGGGAAGGCAAGCTTGAATCCCTTGATTGATCCATCTGTCTTACTAACCTTGACCCAACCTTCATCCTTCTGGTAGTTCACGATTTCAGAAATAGAGTTGAAAGAAGATGGTGAACGATGGGTTGAAGAAAAATAAAGAGACGCCATTACCCCTTTCATCCTTACCTAACGCAAAACAAAAAGAATAACATTGACGTCACATTTTGGAGATTTTCCGTACTCAGTTGAGTGGCAGGTTTTAAAGACGCTACTCGCAACTATTTTGCGATGTGACATTATGTTAGTCCATCCTTTACCGTACCTCTGATGATTTATTGATAAATGTCTGTCCTAGAACCCATGGTATAACTTTGGTGTTAAGCGAGCGGCACATGGTTACTCCTTGTGGAGGTAAGATCATCGTCAGGTTTTTGTCAACCATCCTTCTCACAATGTCAGATATTGTTAATACAGCGTCAAAAATCCTACCAAGTCGAGACTTTAGAAATACAAAATGAATAAGTAGTTGGTGAAGCAATGCATGGAACACATCAAGTCCAACCTCGATTCAAAAGCAATTCAAAAGAGATCACACTTCCTACTGGGCTGCCTGTGGCAAACCAGTCTTAAAATGCATCGTGTTTGTCCGCGTGTCGTTGTTGTTTTTTTTCGGTCAGAAAATGCCAAAATTGTGCCATAGTAATCAGGGGTCTTCACGGCGCTACCCTTGTGTAATGTCTGATGAAGAGAGCATAATAAAAGAGGGAAACTTCTTAATACCGCGCGCGCCATGTAAATTCCCGGTCGGTCTATTTTTAGTAACCGGATGCAGTTTAAATTTCGTCTTACCCTRCTCCCGTGCGTCATCAACTTGCCCGCGCGTCGTCTTTTCGTTTCATTTTTAGTGCAAGTTGATGACGCACGGGAGTAGGGTAAGACGAAATTTAAACTGCATCCGGTTACTAAAAATAGACCGACCGGGAATTTACATGGCGCGCGCGTTAAAAGAAGTTTCCCTCTCTTGATTTATTTCCATGTGACAGATGCCAATCAATGTCTCTAAATTATCAAAATGATTGATAGCAGGTGGGCTGCGAATTTTGGGGCTGTATAGACATCATCTTGGAAATATATTATTGTTTTTATCAATATGGTGTATATTTGAAATTTGATAAAAGAAATAAACAAAGTACGGTAGTTAATAGCGCAGCGCACTGATTCTAAAAATAGCTTAAAGATTCGGACAAACATTGCATTCTGTTCAACCGCTACGAGGATTATACGAACCTATTTTATTATTTTTACTTAAAGTTACAATAATAACCCCTGTAAACTAAGATCAACTGCGATCGGCTGTGAAAATTATCTGCTGAAAGTAAACTTGTAAGTTTGTTTGTCCGAATTTCGCCTTTGTCTTCGTTTTTATGACGTCACGGTTGCGCTGCGCTATTTATACCTGTAAGACTCCTTTGCCACCAGCCGCTTGCCACTCTATATTGACGGTATCATACAGCTTTCCACTACCATCTTTTGGGAAGCGTATTCCAACTATTCCTTCGATGTAACGCAGTTTTGGATCCTTTGAATGAAAAATTAAATAAAACGGTACCAAGAGAATATCAACTAAGAGAAGGAATCCCCGTGCMCCATCATGTGCACACTTTGACGCTATTTTTAGAATCTATTCTAAAAATATCATCCAATGATATCATTTATTTGATCGTTTGATTTTCTGCACGCGCATATTACGCGCGCGCTCTACGCTGTTTGCTAACGTTTTCTTGTGCTTTTCTTATAATGCTCAAATCTGCCTCAAGATGGCGATGTAGTTCGAAAGCTTTGGGGAAAAATTTTTTAAATATTCCAGAAAGTTGAACAAATTACTACTTCAATTTCCTGTCGTATTTGCCAAGCTTTCGACGTGCACATATATATTTAGGGCTGAGTCGAAATAACGGAAAAACCCCAAAAACGTAAGCAAACAGCGTAGGGCGCGCGCAGTAAATGCGCGTGCAGAAAAACAAATGGTTTAAAAATAGCATCAAACTGTGCACATAATGGTTACAAGGCTGTATAGGGGGGATTCCTTCTCTTACTTCATTTTCTCTTGACGGTACTTAACAGGTATGCCCTATGCTAATGAATAGTCACGAACTTCGCATAGTAAATAAAGACAAAGAAGATCATGACGATGAAAAACAAAACACGACGCTAGAGAAAATAATTTGCGAACATGTTCGAATTCTCCTTTTTGGTTTTTTTCACCAAACACTACTATTATATTATGTTATTTTTAACATAAGAAAAGTATTCCAAATGAACATAGAAATAGTGACATAGTACCTTTGGCGCTCTCTCGCCTAAGCCCCCACCCCCTCCAACCCACCTCATACACAAACTTTCGCATAGAGGCTTTGCACCATTACGTGATGGCGGCCATGACAGGAGCTACAACAACAGAATTCTTTATCATGTAAATCTGATTAGTAAAGATTCAATTGCTCCTGCCTCCTGTCATGTCTGCCATCAGGGGATGGTGCAAAGCCTCTATAGTCGCTAAGTTACTATGGTAAACTTGATATAAACCTCACCTCAGATATAGCTCCATCGGTAAGTATCCAGACCCAATCATGAATCATATCCAATTTTGAGGCCTGTTCAAGAACAGAGGGAACAAACTCTGCCAAGCAATTCAGTATCACGACCCGAGTCCCTTTGTCGCGCAGGCGCAGTAGCTCTTTAGTGGCGTTCACTTTGCGGGTCAGCGGAGAAACTGCAAAATGTTCTGTTGCTAGGATTTTCCATTTTTTACTTTTTGCAACATTTTTAAAGTCCTTTAAGCCATTCATTCCTATCGTGAAAAAAAAAATTATAGAATAAATACAAAGTTATTTATTCATCAAATCATTACATTTATTCCTTCCTCCCTCCCTCTCTCCAGACATCCTTCCCTTAGCTCCATCCCTCCCTTCCTCCCTCCCTCCCTCTCTCGCTCACTCCCTCCCTCCATCCATCTCTCCCTCCATCCATCCCTCCATCCATCCCTCCATCTCTCCCTCCCTCCCTCCCTCCATCCATCCATATCTCTCCCTTCATCTGCCCTTCCCTCTACAAAATCAGTGATTTCCTTTCGAATTCTTTGTTCTGTTAAGACTACAAACTCCCTAACGGCGGAGGGGGGGAGGTCATCGGGAATTTTAAATTTTATCTCTACCATATCAAACAATCGTTGTCATTCGCGGGCTTCCTGTGGTGACAAACCACGCTCCCCTCCCCTACACAATTTCCAGTCTTTTTTCGGCCAAAACCAAGATGGCTTACTAGTTAGTGATGTTTTCACTCGATTTACTGTAAATTTGAGCAGTTTTGAGCAAGAAATTCGCCTATTTAGTGAAGAAAATTATATTCCAATTTCCTAATATGGCAAGTACATTCCATATATGGTAAAAGAAACAGCTCGAGCGGAACGACAACTTTTCTATGTGGAAAGTTTGATATGTACGGAGCAGTCCTTCTGAGTAAACTTTCCTGAGATGATTTCCCTACCCTCCCCTCCCCTAGGCCCCTGCAACCCTCCCATTATCTGTAGATACGTACCATAGTCCATCCTCGACGTGGTTTCCCCACCCCCCTCCCCTAGGCTCCTCCAACCCTCCCATTATCTATAGACACGTACCATAGTCCATCCTCGACGTGGTTTCCCTACCCTCCCCTCCCCTAGGCCCCTGCAACCCTCCCAATGTCTATAGACACGTACCATAGTCCATCCTCGAAGTGGTTTCCCTACCCTACCCTCCCCTAGGTTCCTTCAACCCCCCCAATATCTATAGACACGTACCATAGTCCATCCTCGACGTTAGTATACCCATCCTTTCCCATTTGTAACGGACAATAAAATCTATTATTGCAAATTCGATGGCAGATTCACTGGGCATCATTCGTATAAGGAAAGGGTAGCGATAGTTGGAATACACAAATATTGGATCTGTTGCAGACGGCGCGATTTGAGGAATGTGGAATTTCTTGAATATCCCATGTGTGTTTTTGACTGCTGTTGATGTTATGGGTCCGACCACAGCGATAACTCCTTCGGACACGAGGTGGTTTGCTATAAAAAGAAAGTCATATGATTAGGTTTACATTGCATTTTATTTTTGAAGAAATGCTTTACTTTCCATTCCATACTTCATCTGTTCAATACTCCATTTTACAGTTTCATTTATTCGCGACTTTCACATCCCTATAATGCCTTGCGTCGTTGGGGGGGTAACCAATCAAAAAACTGTCCCAAATTGAAAGGTTTCTTAATTGAATTTATACTATATCTGCTTTTATCTGTACAATACTGATTATCAGTTTATTCCAAGTTATTTTTGCGTGTACAGATCATGAAGAGTTTTGGTCTTACAGAAAATGTATTGACTTACGAAAAAATGTTTGAAATTTACCTTAAACGTCTTCAAGCTTCTATCTTGTTCTGTTTTTTACTTCTTCATTTTATTTTTTGATACCGAACAAGGTATTGTCAACATTGTCTGATCAGCCTTCAGCAAAATAAGTGGGTTTTTACCCTCTGGTTACCCCCCAAAGACGCAAAGGATTATGGGGATGTGAAAGTCGAGAATGACCAAAAAATTTTAATTTTACATTTCTTTCGATGATATACCATTCTAGTTTATTAGTTGGTGTGTTGAATATAACAAGTGAATGAGAAGAAAGCTTTGACACCGGGCAAAACTATTACTATACTGGAAGTCCAGACGTTATTCAACAGAAATGATTTTATTGAAATCTTGTGATTCAGCTGATCAACATCCCGCACAAACAGGAAATGACGTCAAGCGCGGAAATCAATCAACAAAGACCCCGAAGTAACAGTGCTTGCTTTTAAAGCAATAGAGCGTTTCAAAACGACCCTCTTGAAAACACCAGACGCTCTTTACATTCAACTAAAAACACGTAACAATTTAGCAAGTAGCTACAAGTAACTGCCAATCTTGCGAAAACTTCTAATTACTACTGTTGTCATTGCTCTGAGACAACAGTCTCAACAGGGGCCAAATCGTATCACTTTAATTTATAAAAACGTGGTAGTATAACCCTTTTTAATTTTTTTTTTTCTTTTTTTTTTTTTTTACTTCTCATGGCGAATATTGTGGCTGCGCGGCAGGAGACAAACAGAACGTTTTCTGATCCTTGTTGTTTCCGTTGTTTTTGTCTTTTTTCTAATCTTTTTTTACGTTTTCCATTAGAGGAAACCACAACTAGACTAATGATCCGTAAAATAAACAAATATGTACAATTAAAGATGTGAGTTAAGATTTGGGAACCAATTATTTTTCTCGGGAAAAAAAAAACGTTCAATGTTAGAAGTCCAATATTAATTAATCATTTTGCTTTTAGACTGTAGATATTCTAATGAAGTCGTATCTGACGAAGAGTAAAGTCTTAAAAGCAGAGATTCAAAAAGAAGTAAGCTTTAGTTTCGAACTCCTGGGATATAAATTAAAGTAAGTCTTACAACATTTTCTTTTCGACTGAAAAATAACTTATTTCATTTAATTACAGAAAAGTATGTAATTTTTGAGATTATGCTAAGAGAAAAGAAATTCGTTTATGTGGAATATCTGAGTTGGAACAACGAGAAACGGAAAAAGCTCCAACAGAGTTCAACAAAGGCGATGAACGTTATGCCTAAAGGAAATTTTGAAAAAATTGCTAATAAACTTTCGAGGTGTAGTACGCATTCTTGAAAACATTTTAGTTAAGGAAGAAAATCAACGAGGAATAAATGTGAAAGAGAAGGATAAAGAGAAGGGTTTTAAAGAATAATGAAAGGAATAGAGGAAGAAAAGGAAGGATGAGGAAGAAAGAAAAAAAGAAAGAAAGAAAGAAAGGAAAAGAATNNAAGAAAGGAAGAAAGAAAGAAAGAAAGAAAGAAAGAAAGGAAAGAACTGGATGAATGAAAGAAAGAAAGAAAAAACCGAATAAGCTGAATACAAAATGTTAATTTGACCCAATGTTGCAATAATTAATAAAAAAATGTCTCCACATGTCTACCAAAATAAAACATTGAACAAATCGTGATTTGTACCAGACAATTCAATAACCACCAAAAATTAAATCGTCCACGGCCTTGTTTTCAAACGATAGCCGGCACTTAATCCCCACAATAAATTGACAGAGTTATGTATTACTTGAGTACGTAAAGATAATTTTTTTATTTTGAAGTCAAAATTTATTATATTATTTAATACAAAAGAAAGTAATGTATCACAAAAATATATTTATATAATAAATATACAATAACATATAAATATATATCAATGAATTGAAACTAGAGAGATTATTTTCTTTTTGAATTAATATTTTTAAGTTATTACCGTTGTCTTTGAATTTGTGAATCGCACTTACTTCAGGGAGACATTTTGTCGAAGGACTTCACATCAAAATATTCCTAAATTCAAGATAAGAAACGAACTGGTACAAAAAATGGCTTTCAAAGAGGCAGTCTCGCGATAAATTATAACTAGAGTCTCTTAGAAGCCAAAACCAGGCTAAACCAACATGTTTTACATATTGTAGTCAATACATGTCTTTTTGTAGAAATACAGAATACTTTTCTTTACTTTGCATAGTAAATTGCAGCTCGATTCATCCTGTTAAGTTATAATGAGAGTCTTTTAGAAGCCAAGACTAAGCTGTTTTTACCTATTATTGTCATCACAACTCTATTTTTGCTTTGAGTTTCAACATAGTGTTCTGTGATTTACGATACAAATTTCTTCGTAAAAATAATCAAAAAATAAGCTTATCATATTTTATTTTTAGAGTGATATTTCATTAGTGAGTTGAACGTTGTGTGCATAGAATATTAAATGTAGTGATAGTGGGTGTGAGCGAAAAGTGTCCCCAATTAGTGCGAAAGCGCTAGAACGACTAGGCACTTAAATAAATGTGTTTTTTAGAAGCTTTTGGTATCATAGTTCAGTTCCAAAATAAAAGGATATCATATAAAAATAATATTGTGACAACCCGTTCTTTTTTTAGTGAATGTACATAACCTTATGTCAACGGCACTTAAAAAGATAAAATGACATTTCAAATTTATACTTTAATTTCAACATCTCAGAACGGCCTAATTAACCATTGACTTCTCCAAGATTGGTTGAATTAGTTTTTCTATTGGTCCTAATTAAGGTGACGTTCTACTTTCGAGAATTCTATTTGAGCCCACGATGTGCGCGCGCTCAAAAACCGTTGAAAAATCTACAAGATTTTATTGAAGAGCCATACGCGTTTTGAGCTTCAACACGGCAAAACCCTCAAATTTTGCACAGGACTCTCTATCTTTTTAATAGCTCATTCGAAAAAACTGCTAAAAATCTAGGTCATATCAACATTTCAGAAAAAGTTTATATCAGTCACACATGAAAAAATCGATTTTTGTAGGGATTTTTGTTCGACTTTATGAAATTTTTTAAGAGCACCGAAACTACAAAATATGACAAATCAATGTATCTCTTTGTCTTTTTTGTCGAAAATATCCATGTATTATTGTAGAATGATTGACTAGCCTTCATTCGTGCAATCATATAGTCTGCAAATAACTATTATCTTATGAATCTTAATTTTTTTTCTAATCACTTCACTTTCATTAAATGCTAATTATCTCGAAAACGAGCCTTGGACACCCAATTTGTCTTTCCAGATTTGGAATCAGCATTAAATTTCAATTCGGAAAATCGAAGTTTTAAAAAAAGTTTAAATCAATTTCCAAAAGTAGGTAGCCACCTTAATATCTTTATATCCTACCGATTTAAACAAGCGAGAAATCAAAAATATATATAGAATAGGAAGAGTAAATTCTGAGTTTTTCCCAAAGTTTTCCTCTCGAATGTGTTAAAATTTAAATCCCTTTAATTTTGTTCAATTAATGTTTCTTGAACATTTGTAAAGTGCGTTAATTTATCAGATTACTTCCTAATTAAACTAGATTTTTGTTTCGGAGCATGCATGATTTCTTACCGCGCTTTTAGGCCCGTGCTCACGCCATCATAATCTAATCATCATATCTTTGCAGTTCAAAAACTTAATGATAGGAAAGTCTTGGTACAAATGCTAGTCACTTCAATTCTCAACTACGCTATAATCGAATCTACGGCACTATATTTATCTACTGTGGATATTTCAAAGGTTTAATGCAATATTTTAATTTCAAAAAAATGGACTTTTAGCTTTAATTAAGATGTCTTGTTCAAGGATTAAATCTGTATTTTCTATCCAATTACCAAGATGACGTCACCTATTGTTAATAATTAATTTTTAAATAAGAGAGCAGACTTTTTAATTGGGTGGTAAAAAATGCAGCATAAGAATATATCAGAAAAAAACTCTTGAAATTATGCTTATTTCTTCATAGGGTTGAACAGCAATTTTTAAAATTGCTATGAAAGAGGAATAAGGTGTTGTAGAAATATTTTATTTTTTGAAGACGAGTTTTTTTCTGAATTAATTTTCTATTTTCTTTTATTTTCGATTCTCGATTTTTTTCCATTTTCTTTTTGTTTTTGCTTTTGTAAGTTAGTTTGTTTGTTGTTTTGTTCTTTGTTATGCCAACTTATTACTTCACCTGCTGGAAATTTTTATAGCAATTAAAATCACAGCCAGTCAAGCTACACACAACAGGAATCTATAACATACCAAGCAGTAGAATACTGTAATACAATATTAAACAAAGGTTGGGTCTTTATTATGACGGCAGTTAGATGAAGTAATCATTGCTCTCCCTGGAAGATCGTTATATCAAGCGTGCTTCCCGTTTGGCTTCTTTTTTTTTTTTTTTTTTTT